GCCACAAAAAAGAGACACTTAGCCCATGGCGCGCATCATCGAACTTCTCGTTGCACAGGGAGCCGATGTCAATGAAAGTTTTACGGTGAATATTCCTTAGGTGTTCCCCCGTAAACAGAAGCAGGCCCTCCTTCACTGCCCCCGCCGTCTTCAGAATATGACGTCACCGTCGAGCTCAACGAGGCTTACCGTAATCGCTCCGACCTGAAGCTGCTACATAATTTCTTCAATGGATTAACTGTTGAATAGCTTCCCAGAGACATTAGCTGTGACTATGCAAAACCGCTTTTGACCAGCGTTTCAGAGACGTCGTAATCGTCTATGGTATCTCGACCTCGTTGAGCTCGTACCGTGCACAATGCTTCCGTGGGAAAATCTTCTGATGTCGTCGGTGTAGAAGGCTGTTGTGTAGCTTGTTGATAGATTATAACGTGCTCTTTAATATTCAGTTGGGGTCATTTGGTTTGGTTTCGCAACGCGTAAATAATTCCGTTTTGAATAAAAATGGTAGCATTGGGCGTGGCCGTCTCCACGGGTGGCGGAGTGAACGCGAAGAACACGAATGCAGGCTATTTCTGCATGCTATTTCACAGTAGAAAACATTACGTATTACGCTCCGTATGCGTTCTTCTCTAGAGCCATAGAAAGTGATCATCTGTTTTCTATTTTTTTTTTCAAATTTCATATTGTTGCGATTTTCGTCCTTTTCTGGCCGTTGTTTACATATCGCACACCAGCGAAGTGAGGGTAATGTGAACGAGTGTTTTTCATAGTGCATCATGCTCTTACGATTAGCTTACTCTGATACTACTGTTTACTCTAGTCGCTTGCCCCCAGGGACGGTAGTATACGAATTAAGCGCACAGGACCGATGTTCGAGGAAAAACATGGGCCACGTAATAAGAGTGCTTGAAGAGGACACTATTAAATATAGCAAGGGGTCCCAATGCTGGTCTGAATTTTGGGCCCACGCCCAATGGTTTAGGCCTGAATTGAAGGTCACTGATAACTTCGATGCGAAAAAGATGCCCTTCAAGAGTTTTTTTGATCAGTTCGCCATATTTTAGGTTCTTCTCGACCAATTACTGGCCCACCTCAGCCAACCGTTGAAGTATCACCGTACCGTGTCTACTATGTGTTTGTTCCAGCTATTGCCTCATTTCAAGAAGGAACATGTTTCTCACATAATTGAGGTACGAAGAATTTTCACCGTTCACCAATTCTTTTTTAAGCCTAAATCGCTCACTACTCCTTTGAAAACACCAGTTCAGACCATGATGATGGATGACGAGGAATTGGCCGACGAACAGGGTAGCGAGGGAGAATCAACGAATGATGAAGATGAAGGTGGCTGCTACGCTAGCTATTGTTTTGTTGTTCTGAAGAGTAGGAGGAGGGGTTCTATTCAATGTACCGCAGGTGAACGTGACGTCTGTAGTAACTGCTTTTCTCTACGTGTTGGGAAGACTTGCGGGGTTTTTTTTTTTGAAGTCCAGCTGCTTGTTCGATTTTATGGTGTCTATGTTCAGATATGGGCGACGGTGAAGCAACTGGTGAGTCAGTCAGAATCTGAAAGCCTAGAAGATGAAGAGGTGTGTCAGAATTGGAAGGCTTCTTCTTCTGTATAGACAATTTTATTTTAAGGGAGTCGACCCTGAAGCGCTTAATCGTCTAGAGAGTGCTCTAGGAAAGGCGGCTGTCAAGAGGAAAGGCGATGCGATTGATGAGGAGGAGGTCAGTCGATAATACGGTGATGTAGTCGACTATTCTCATGCTCTTATTATCATACCAGTAAGGGGTGATTCGTATGCAAAAATCAGTTGGGAAAAACGGAATTCTCATTTCCTGAACACGAGTAGCACCTGAAGTTCAAGTAGTGGGAACTGGGAGGAACTGGAAATACTTGAGGCTTGTTTTTAAATATTTTGAGCTTCCTGTCTCTTGTAGTTGCATTCCGGCTAGCAGTAAGCGTGACTGCTCGTAAAGAAATTACTCTAGCGATGAAGGCATGTTCCGCGAGAGGCCAGGTGTGGGTTATTGCCCTCGACAGCGCAAGTATTTGTGGTGAGTAATCAAATAGTAATGAAGAAGGCACGTGGGATTGCCAGGAACTTCTAAAATCCATTGCACGCCGATCGTCTGGGCAGAATTTGCGGTCTTCTCATTGACCCCTTTCTTTTACCGTATTCTTCTGTATCAGGAAGAGCCAACCAATGAGAAGGTTGCAATGCCTGCCCACACCATCAGCGCGCCATTCGATGAGTTCTCAGTATTTTCGTTCATTCTCTTATTATTCGTGCAATAATCTTGTTCACTATGTCCAATGCAATATTTCCATGTAGAGTATCAGAGTCGCGAGATAGATGGGGAACTTTTCAAACAGTGAAATGGGTTGAGGGCCGATTTTAGTCTTTTTTGTCAGTTTTTTCTCAGTTTCATACCTTCTCTCACGAGCTAGGGTTTCTGAATGCCCAAACTTCGATCTTCGGTGTTCTGCCGTCGAAATAGGCCTTTCAAAGTTCACCTTAATCAATAACAACGGCTTGTTTCTATGGAACGAGCCTTCCCAATTTTTTTGTTTCTCATATTTAAAATTTGTTCGGCTGATTTTAAGTGGAAAACCCTTGATTGATATTTTCCTTTGAATTACCGTGATTTTAGTCGGACGCTTCTGACGTTGATGACGCTGAAATGTTCGCATTGGATGATCGGCTTGCAGCTGCGTTCAAGGCTATGGCTCCTAAGAAGAGCGAGAAGTGAGGGTTTCTTATTACCAGATCCACCGGATGTAAGAGGATACGATCATTTTCTAGCAAAATGGCTACTCAGCTGGCATCTGCGTTCCGGTTGAAACTGGCGGACTTACTTCTCTTCACAATCTCATCACAGGATACCCCAGCAAGCATCAAAATAGTCAGTTGTGTGGT